ATTTGACGCTCCAAAGATAATACGAGGAAAACCTTCGTCACATCGGAAAAATGATAAAAACGACCCAAAATTAAATGATTTCAAACACAGATTCTTTGCGCCCACCGAGTCGGCAAAAATTGACCAAAGTGGGTACAGTCGACGGCAAAAAATACTTGGCCACTTTTCGACCTTATCCTGGCGGCTTGAGAATGATGAAACGGTCAAATTATCTCTTTTGACTGTACAAAGTAAGCTAAAGACAATTTATCGTCAGGGGAAAATGTTCGGGAATCGATCCCTCGTGATGCGAAATTGAATAAGTTGGGTTCGATCGGCGCAGTGCGCGGGATTAGTGATGATTTCTGTGGGAAATTTGATAATATTTGCCAGGTTTGAATGAAAATAATTGTAAGTAATTAATTCCATTCTAAGAAGGGTTGCTTTTTGTTCTCACAGCCTAGAAATGCGTAAGCTGCTCAAATGAAAGTTTCTTTACTTTTTAATTTAAGAGCTTTCAATTTTGAAACATCGATCCCTGTGGAAATATCATTGCATTTGAACAACGCATAGCCTCTTGAAATTTCAAGTCATAAAATCCTGTTGTAAAAATATTACCATATTTACAATCACCGCGTTTCTTATTAAAATGGTCGACACCAGTAAAGAAAGGTAAATGAAATAACCATAAACTCGTAATGGTTGCGGTAATATTTTCCGTTATTGCAAACCTGATCCTTTGCCGGATTAGACCGTAGATAAAAAAGTAATGGTGGGCCATTCGGCGGGCACCCGACAAATGGGGAAGAAATTTGGCCCAAACTGGGCGATTATTGCCCATTCTGTTACTTGACCATGTTTGGTTTAGCACTTTGTTCGATGATGCGATTTGAACTTAAATTGCGGCAATACAGATGATTCCTGAATCTTGTTCACATTTGACTGAATTGCCGGAATTATTCTTGCACTTATTATGCTGCTAATAAAGCCCGATTTAATCAAATTTCTATTCATAACTCCTGGTATAGCTGGCAAATTGACAGTTTCAGGATGGGAAATAATTATGTCAAAATGTCGAATATCTGACGATTTATTCTGAGATTAATATTTACTCTTGTTTTGTCGAATCCACCCTTAGTTGCTAAGCTGCTCCTCTGGTTTAAACCTCTCTTACCCTACCCTATGTTTCGTTTTTAAATGTCTACAAAAATCTGACTAGGTCCCTACGCTGGATAAGACTATCTACTATAGAGCCAAAAGCTGCTTACGCCCATGGTTACATAATCTGGACCCTAAACGCACCCATTATACAAAAACAAAAACATTAATTAAGTATTATTAGGTATGTCTTTATTATCCCTTGACTAATAAATGAGCGGAAGCTTTACGTTGAAAGCACACCAAAAGTACATGAAAGCACACCAAAAGTACTCGCTTTCAAACAACGAGGGTCTGTGTACAAGTACATTAATGGAGAATAAAGTTTCATAAGACGGACGGTCACAATATAATAGCGTTCAGTGTGTAGGTAATAGATGCAGTTAAATAAACGACAAAAACAGGCGCCTGTCGCTAAGTTGTTATTGTTACGTACATAGAGTTAGATTCTCTTGTAGCTGCAATTTACTCATGGAAAATGAAGTCAAAAAGTTAAGGTAATAATAGCCAGTTCTTGTGTGGTTGAGGATTCCGAGTTAAGTTTGCTTCCACCTTCAGCCATATAATGCTGGTTTGATGCAAGCCAAAAACTTCCTCGTTGTGGATTTAGGGAAATTACTTTTTTACAACTACACACACCGGCAGATTTAGAGGAACGGAAAAAAAAGCATCAATATCATCATTATTTTAGGAAAAAAATGCCTAATTATGACATTATTTTTTAATTTAATTCTAAATATGAAAAAAATAATTGCCAACAGTATATTTTTTTAATTATTTTGTTTAAATTACCCCATCAACAGTTTCGTTGAGTGTTTTGAATTGAATGAAGCTTTTGCTAATTTGGATTTCTTTTACGTGAAAGATGTTTTTTTCTGAGAATTTTGTTGTGTAAGCATTCAGTTACTTATAAGGGTTTATTATGCCCAGCTTAGCACCGTCAGAAATCATTAAGGCAGATGAAATGAGAAGTAACGGCCATGCATACAAATCGGCTGCCGTAAGACGTCGTTGATCAGTATCGACCACCCATGGCAGTAACCAACGGTACAGATTGATCATTTCTGTCGTTAGGAGGAGGGTTCAAGTCAGAAAAAGGCGTACTTCGCGACGGGATGACCGTTTTTTACAACTTCGAGTTTTCAGAAAGTCGCGGTTACCTGCTGTTCAAGCCAGAAATAACCTTAAAGACACTCGAGGAGTAAGAGTGACTGAGCCCACAGTTCACAGGAGATTTACTGAAGTTGGTATAGGGTCGTGCATACCCGAGAAAGCTCCAACTTGTGACACAGCACCGAAAAAACATATTGAACTTTTCACGTGAATATCGTGATTGGGTCTTGAACGACTGGAGGCATGATCTCTTCACTTATGAGTGCAGAGTTCTCTTAAACCAGATCGATGGAAGATAGCGAATATGGAGACACAAAGAGAACGTAACATTTAGTCTTAATTTTGAAAATATCGTGGTTTATGGAGGTAGCTTAATTCTGGTGTGGGGAAGGATTTTTTTGGGAGCTCGCACGGAGTTAGTGGTGGGTGATGGAGGAAATACGACTTCTGAATGGTACACTAGGAACATTTTAGAAGAACATGATGTGCCATTTACTCCATTTATTGTGGACTCCTTTAGTTTAATTCACGATAATGTTCGTTTTCACAGTGCTCGCTCAGTACAGGCACATCTAAACCATTTGGATATACCCATGATGCAGTGGCTGGCAAGATCCCTAGACAAGAATCCTATAGAGCATGTCTTGGACTTTCTTAAAAGATGTGTTAAACTCAGAATACCACCGGTGGTGTTGAGAAACGCGTTACTAGAGGAATGGCAGACATTGCCCCAAAATACCCTTCATATCATTAACTGCAGCATGCTCAGATGAATGGAAACCATCATCAGAGCAAGAGGGGGAAATACCCATCATTAATTCATTCATTTGGATAGTGATAAGCTACCCTAATTTTTAATCTGGCCACAATTTCTAATTTTTGTTCAAAACTGAAAAATTGAAATTTCGTTTCGATGATTTTTTATTAAATAAAAACGACTAAATATTTAAAAAATATATGTTATTTTATTTTATTTTAATTATCTCTTTATTTTGTATAATAAATATTTCATAGATCAGTAGTAAATTTCCTTATTTTCATACTTTTTTTTGCGTTCCGCTAAATCTGCCGGTGTGTGTATCGACCAACTTCATGAGCGGTGCTACTGTATTTTATTTAATTGTTCTAATGTTTATCAGAAAATATAATGAACAAAATGCAACAATAACAAAACAGATTGGATCAAAGGATTAATTAATAATTACATTGCCGACTTCTTAGTGAAATTTGATTTTGCAGTTATTGGTATAAAGATATTTTAAAGAATTGAATGAGCTTAATAAATAACGATTTGAATTTTAAAGAATTTAATGAGCTTAAATAACGACGTGAATGCTGTAGAAACTGGCCAAGTGCGAGTTGGACTCGTGCACCGGCCATTTCGTACAAACTTGTAGTAATTATGTAAATGGTTTGTTCCTGAAACTGAAGATTTTGGGCAAAAAAAATCTCTTGTTGTATATCTTAATATTCAGTATAAAATATTGTTATAGCGCTATAATGGCAACATCATATTATGTGAACAACTGTCAATGGCTAGCACGTTTTATGAATACAGCCTGGTGACACAGACTGAAAGACTTTTACCAGGCCTGTTCATCTCCGCGAGTTTACATCGAAAACAAAACACGCACGATTGCCCCCTACAAGAGTACTATTCGACAAGGCCTCACATACGAGCGAACATTGACTCATGCACGCGTATTCTTGTGTATGATGGAAAAAAATTAAAGAAAATGGTGTACTAAATACTGTGCAGTATTTAACTGCCTAAATAATAATAAAAACACAGAATGTACTTTTTTAAGTTGCCTCAAGACACTGAGAGGTAAATAAGTAGTTAATATTATTCATGATAATTCATGCTAAATCATGTATTTCCTCCGCCATTTTCTGCAGATTGGCACCTCACGTCACATCATTTTACCGAAGTCAGCCCTATAGCTTCGGCGCAGTACCGATCACTGACGTTTGTCAACAAAACTTCTGACAAACTTGCTTGACTCTTGAGACAAGCTAAATTACACCATATTGTTAATGACATTGAGCATACATTTTTTTAAATACCTTCGCGAAGTAAAACTTCTGTACGTAGTACTTATATTATTCTGTGCTTTTACATCGGGTACGGAACCCTAAAAATGATCGTGAAATCACAATTCGCAAACGTCAGTTTGATGACGTTATCGGATCGCTCGTGGCAACACACGTCCGACTAAATTTCCGATGGCAGGTACTTCTGAAAAAGAGAGCTTTATGAATTTTGCCGGTAATTATTCAAAATTCGTTTACAAAACGTTTTCAAATGTCGATTTCATTGCTGTGTTGTTGTATTCAAATATTTTCCAGTACTTTCTAACCATTAAGCCTTAATTAATATTTAACTGTGTTCCCACTTGGTATGTTTCGATTCCGGTTATTTGCCAGAAAATAAAAATTTAGAAGGTGTAGCAGTAAGCTAATAGATAAGCTTAAGCTCGGTGGTCTGTGCCTTTTAGTTGGGCCTGATTTTAATTTGTATGAAGAATCGGCCGATAGTAAATCGGTGTAATGTGAGCACTTCCATGCATGCCCATACTGATTAACTGCCCGACTAGAATACTTATCGGTTGACGAAAAATCGGTGGTCTGCGCCTAGGCTAATACTTGGACTCAGTACGAGTCCATGCTCGTTAAGTAGCGGTTCAATTAAAGACCTCTATTTTTTAAATGGTTTAACGATGTTTACTAATAGATGGCGTTGTCCACAGCATCCTCTTCGCCGACATTTGCGGATTCACCTCCCTATCGGACCAATGCACGGCTGAGGAGCTGGTGCGCCTGCTGAACGAGCTCTTCGCACGGTAAGTTTCAAATACTATACTACTTTAAAACATGTTTTTGTACACGGTCACCAATTAAAAGGTTACAAAAGTACCTAACTTTTTTGCGGAAATTCATTATTGTGGTTCAAAGTAGGAAATTCAAATTTTGGAAGTAACGAGGTTACTTATCAGTCTAAAGCTTACAATTGTAGGCAAAAAAAAGATTGCTTCAATTATTGTACTGAAAGCTATGAAACGTGCCACACAAAGAATTCACAAGTCACTTGCTGTTAAAAGACCCGTGATTGAGTTTGAATCTCTACTTACTTTAGGGCTTATATTAAGTTTTCAATCAATAATGATTGGTTAACAATTTTATAGGTATTCTATTACTTACAAAATATTTCAGTGTTAGTCTTTAGTTCAAATATTCTCTTTACTTATTCAATTGCCAATTAAATCGTTTCCTAACACTTTAAACGTACCTATTTATTTTGAGTTATTAAAAAACTCACGTGCAAACACGCCGGAATTTTCACTCCCTCGGGTCCGCGAGCGAATATTGTTGAAGCCGAAAACTCTGTTATTGCTTTATTATTATATTTTTACCGTGTTAATATTCAGAGCGTGTTTCCTTCATTATACTAATGCCCTTATATCCGTGGGCTTAACACGTTTTCGATACAAACCAAGGTAACAAAGTTATTGCGAAAAATCGCTTTTGCTTTTGCGGTCCATTTAATTTTGCAAATTTTAATAAACAACGCTGTTTGCGTAAAGAAATACGGAGGGTCTTCACATACAATTTTATTGGCATTTTATATGCTATTCATATCACGTATATTTAGTTTTAAAATATAAGTAATTATAGCGTCGGTCAAAAAGAAGCATACGAGTAACATTATAAGGTACGATGTCCATTGACCAACGCGCGCCATACATATAATATGGCCTTAAAGAAAATAGTACCTATGTGTTTTATTAACAGTTCTTAGAGTCGCAATTGCTTTCAACAAGTTACGACTGATTAACTGACATTTCAATCCGGATAGCGCGAGCATGCGTCGGAAGCCGGTTGGCTCCGAGCGTATTCCAGCGGATACGTGCGCAGAAACGCCAATTCTACCTAATTTCTACGCTGCGCTGCGCGCCGACTCGCGCCGGTCAATGTGATTCCTTTCTTAAAGTTCAAGCAATTCAATGTCATTAAAATACTTAAATACCTAAATAATCGTTGGTATCGCTTTAATAAGGCTTCCTTGTCAGGACTACGGAAACATAAAAATGGACTGCAAAATTTTACCATTTTTCTATTTCTTTCGCCATTTCATTTAATGGAATTTTAATGCTTTATACTTACATGTTTACAAGAATGACATTCATTGAATCTCAGTTTTGTACGTACCTAATCTTTCATTTAACCCGTACTTTAGAGGGCTGACGGAAAATCTTAATTGTACTTAGTTTATGTGTACCCAAGGACGGCGATTACAGCGCGGATAAAGGGGCACTATCGCACGTAACACGTTACATTAAGGTGCGCCCACACTAAAGACATTCGGCCGAGCACTCAACGGACATTCGCAAGAATCCAGGAAAACCGTCACAAGTGTTCTTTAATGAAATCTAAGAAAACATGCAGTTCAAATTCTAGGAAAGGTTAAAACATTATTTATTTTAAATAGAATTTCGCGGTTCTCGGGATCTTATTATTTGTTCAAGCCTGAACACACAAAAGTATAAAGAAGTTAAAACTGTTAGCTCTCCCACTTAACCTTTGCTCCCCTTAAGGCTCTTCAAAGTTTCAGGTTAAGAAAATATTATTATCACCATTTATTATGCACATAATAGTATTTTGCGAATTATTTTTCCTTAAAAGGAAAGGAAACACAGGAAAAAATGACTTATGATGAATTTTATTAGTATTTGGCATAAAAATTAGTGACCCTGCGCGCGTGTAAATTTCATTGACCTAATTCATTAATAATATTATCCAACGAATGCTCGCCACACGCTCGGTCGTATATTCAACGTATACACGTATCGTAGTACAGCTTAACCAGCTGTCTGCCGTAGCTCACTATAATCCCAGTGACGAAACGCTAACAAATTTCCCTAATAACATAAGCGGGAAAATTGTAAGCATTGATTTATACTCAACCCCGCAATATTTCATAAGCCCGAAATATACAGCCACGTTATTCTGTACTAGTGGTGATCGACTTACGTAGATCTTGCCTCGATATCGACATTTTGATTGATTTGTGAGATTGAAATTTTTTTTTTTGTAATACAATAATAATTATAACTTTTACAGTTTCCTCAATTTTCACAATGTAAGGATAAATCAGCCAAATGGATTCAGACTCCAATAAGGACTGATACTTAGATATATTCGTATCAGATTAAAAACTCTAAAAAAATACAACAAAATACTTGATTCTTATCTTGTTGTCATGGTGATACAGACATGAAAAAGTCCTAAGCCTAAGCGCAGACCACTGACTTTTAGTTGGCCGATAGTTGTGTCGGACTGTTTCTCAGTATGGAGATGTATGAAAGTGCGCACATTACACCGATTTGTTATCGGCCAACTAAAAGTTGGTGGTCTGCGCCTAGGCTAATATCTAACCACTTATAGTTCTTAGTATAGTCTATTGTATTTTCACTTTTCGTGTACCTAATCACATGGTCAATGCATCGACGTTTTTATAAATGTCTCGTCCCTATTTTATCACGCGTATTTATCATTTTCGCGATGATAAAGTGGCGCTGGACGATTGGACCATCCATCAAAACACCTTTACGATATCGGACGCGGGTCCTAACGACCCCACACGCCCTAATACATTCACTCTAATCAACAGGGAAAGGGTTAAAATATGCGAACACACTTAATGAGACCGCAAGTAGATACCGAAGCAAATAAATTATGTTATCTGATGCTCAATTTTCATTATTTTCAATTCCACTGGACTGGATTTTGTTTCAATTCGGTCTGAAAGTTAGTGTTAATTTCTCAAATCAAATAAGACTTTTTCGTCAAACTTTTTATTTTTATATAGGATCTCAATACATTTTTGAAAAGTAAAACACTACAGTCACGCCTTTTAATTGAGTTTAAGTTCTCAGAAAGGGCGTTTTCACCTTTTTTAACTGAGGTTTTGGCAAGCACAAGATGTTTGTATACTTTTTCATTACGTACAAAATACAAAACTTTACATTTGCAAATGAAGTTGCCTAGACATAAACTAAAACTATAGTGCCTATAAGTCATCTTAAACCACTGCATAGTCTGTATCTTGTAATAAAATAAAAGAATGCAACAGAGTTCTTTTCTCAAACGTATTTTCATCGAAGAAAATCCGAGACAAAATGTAAACCGATTCCTATTTTGTGCCGATACTGCATTGTTCGCAATAAATGCAATAAGAACGAAAATATATCGAGCAGCCCTCATGAACTGAATAAGTTTATTACTGGGGTAAAAATAAACCTACACAATGCATGATATAAGAAGTAAGTTGTATTCATGGATAATACTCGAACTCATCCAAACTTTATTAAAAAGAACGAAAGTACCGACGAGCTTCGTACCTCCAGCTTTTCACTCTGTTTTCTTTTTTCGGGTTAATGACAATCATAAGAAATGTGGCTTTCTATTGGTAAAAGAATATCAAAATCAGTTCTGTAGATCCAGCGATAGCCCATCTACAACCTCACAAACTTTCAAACATTATATATAGATGTTCACGTTCGAACCGTTGTTTTTTAAACAATCAACACATTATTTTAACCTTATCAAGTCAGTTTGCAAGTCAATACAAACCACCGGATCGGTCCACGCTAGAGCGACGTGCGAACCTCATTACCGGGACGGACTCGCTCGTAAATTGTCCGCTACACCTATTGCAGTTTTACGACAGACGCGTCCAGGCTGGTGTGGTGGACGTGCTTCTTTATACAGGCTTTACAAGAGCTGTTTTTTAAAAGCGCAAACAGATAATAAAAGCTAAGTTGCCGTGGAAGCGGCAAATGAAAAAAAATATTTAAAGAGAAAATAGGTTTAAACAACTGATTATAGGTGGATTCGACCAAACAAGAGTAAATATTAATATCAGATTAAATCGTCAGTTTTGACATATTTCCCATACTGAAACTGTCAATGTGCCAGCTATACCAGGAGTTATTCTCGGATAAAAGTTTGGGTGAATCGGGCTCTAGATAAATCAAATTATTAGTACACAGCTAAACCTCTTCTTACTTTAAGTCGTTCGTTCAGCGTTCAACTTCAAGAAGTCATTCGTAACTGTGGAGAGCGTATTTCTGACACTCAACTCCTCTGTGGCCTTAACTTGAATAATAAACAGTAAATAAGCTTCGAATAAACTTAACTTCGCAAGTTCAGTGACACTCCTGATGAATAATTTGTGGGGAATTTCCTCAGTTGAGACAGTTGAGGTCTTGGAAATTAGAATAGTTTTTTATTTGCTTAGGAAATTGGTAAAGAAGTTAGAGTAAAGTTTGTTTCAGTTAAGATTCTAACTCAGATACAATTGGATTTGTTACTTTGGAAGCGTGGGTATTAGGACCTAAGTACCTACGTCATTTTATAAAAGCTGAAAGTTTGTCAGCGTATGCTCCCAATATAGGTTAGAATGTTGGTGTATCATGAAGTTTGGGTCATCGTGACAGTTACCGTCAAAAGATTATCTGGTAAGGTGTTGGAACTGTCAAAACTATCTGGCAGTGAGGAAACTACAAATTATTGCCCAAATATATACGTATAATATACATAAAAACAGGTTTTATTAGTACTTCGAACTAAGTAAAACGTAATCAAGTCGCTCATCGTGATCTTCCAAATGTGATCGTTTCGAGTAACACTTACGAGCACTCATTGTACTCGTAGCAAGACATTGTTGCAAAAGATATCTCCTGGAAATTCAACACTATGTAGTTCATGTTTATGAGTTGATTTGCATTGTACTTGTGCAGATTCGACCGCCTTGCCGCGGAGCACCACTGCCTGAGGATCAAGCTACTCGGCGACTGCTACTACTGCGTATCTGGACTCCCAGAGGCCCGCGATGACCATGCCAAGTGTTGCGTCGAGATGGGACTGGACATGATTGATGCCATTGCGTGAGTACTCTTTACATTCTTTATTATTTTTCTTTGTCACCACTGCAGGGACTATCATCAGGTTTGTCTTGTCTCCATTATAGGAACACGACCCTTTTTTTTAAATGCATGGTCTAAAACTCAACACTGATAGTGTTGATTTTGAACACCGGTTTAATTTTGTTTTGTCATTTTCTCTGCCTCTTTGTACTTACACAATGATACACAATTCTACTGTAATCTGTCTATTTGCTATTATTAAATACTCACTACAAAATTAAATAATAATACACGGCGAATATTTAACCTTATTATAAAAGCTACTGACCTTTAAGCAGGTAAAGCGCTTAGAAACCGCAGTCAAATGATAGATTACCAACTTTGTCGTCCATACAGAACTTTGCAGAAAGCTTCTGAGTAAATGTAGTTGGCGCTGTTTGCACTTGGTTGCAGAGCATGAGCCACTTGTCGACGGTGTGAATCCGGCTTTACGTTTTGAAGTCTCGAAATTTCGAAAGCTCGACCACTAAACTTTTGGTATACATACAGAGCTTAACTCTAGCACTTGATAGCATGACCAATAGGCATTATAATAAGAAGCATCACTTCAGTGACTTGAACAATGTTTTCTGTAGCCTCGTTTTAGTGATTGAGATTTGGTTATACCCCTCAGCCAATTTTAATTGTCTAGTTGTTCCTTCGTACTAAAGTATGATATATTATTTTATATTATGGTATTGTATTTGATATTAAGATCAATATTGAGGTCCTGCAGAAAAGACCGGGAGTAGAGGTTCTTATCGATTTGGCCTTAAAAACCTCTTTGGGTCGCTACGCCATTTTAGTTACTTAATTATGTATTCTTGATTTTATCCCTTAATAATTATTGTACTTTCTCATTCGTGATACAATTTACTTTTTCACTTGTAGCCTCGTCCGCGAGGTAATGGCCGTTAACGTGAACATGCGCGTGGGCATCCACACCGGCCGCGTGCACTGCGTGGTCCTCGGCCTGCGCAAGTGGCAGTTCGATGTATGGTCCAATGACGTCACCCTCGCCAACTACATGGAGAGTGGAGGCGTTGCTGGGTAAGTATTTGAAATGAATTGGAGCTGATAAGTTTTCAACTATAAAAATGGTATGAACGTACTGCAAGTTGTAATTTTGACAAAATGTAGATCTTGGCTAAGCAGGAGGAGCACTGATTCTAAAACTATGCAATTATTATAGCTTTAGTACACCTATGAAGTGACGACTTAAAGAAGATAGCTGACAAGGGCTGGATGAAAAAATTGGGCGATCATACTCTGTGTTTCTGTCTGTCTCATTGTCCTCGGAGAAAGCTTACGTCGAGCAGTGCCATAGCCTGAAATAATGATGATTTAAAGTTACTTACACCCGTATTCACAAACGACGCTTCTGTGAAGCAGCAACCCTATGCGAAGTCGGACGCACAACGTTGAATAGAGTTCTGTGATTGGTTCGTGTGTGTCACTCCGCTACTTAAGTATTGTCTGAATAGGTTTTTGGGACCCTGTGTGTCTACGCGCACTATGAGACCACATAGCAATGTTTGTGAATACGGGAGGTAATGTTAACATCAGTGTCTTTTCTTAAATACGGTTATATGACCACATTTTGACCTGTCTCAATGCTTGACAGACGCGTCCACATCACGAAGGAAACCCTGGCATGCCTCGGCGACGACTACAAGGTGGAACCCGGCAATGGTGGCCAACGCAACGCATACCTGAAGGACCATAACATTGAGACCTACCTGATTGTACCTGATAATACCAGCCGTGTCGTAAGTCTTAGAATATTTCTATGTACAATGCATTAGCATCATCTTTGAGAAACAATTAATATCCAGATAATTTATTTCCATTTTGATAACACAGATAGTTTTGATTTTACTTAAATGAGAAAATTTTCATAAGTATCACCTCACATTAGGTCACTGTTTTATACTTTCATAGTTTTTAAAGTCATACTAGAACACACATTCCCAAAAATCGTTATTCGATCTAATACGATTTGTGCCGATTCCTACGTGAATTTGCAATTTAATACCTCGTTATCACCCAGTCCACTGTAATATCGTCAGTTTACGGCTTGAATACTGTTATTGCTTTACTCAATCCCAGCCAATATAATCTGAGCAGATTTATCCAGTTGAGCTAATGCATTTAAGTAGACAGCTTCGGTCGCCTAACGAAGCTGGCAGCTAACCCTAAGATGTATCAAATTATTCGAAAGTACTTACCGGGACACTAAAGGCTGATTTACACGTATTAAGTAGTTAAGTAAGTATTTAACATAATTTTAAGTGATCAAATTGCATCGTAACTAAATTTTAACTTAATTCCAAACGTCAAGCTCTTGTTTACTATGAAACTGCTTATCAAAACGTGTCAAGTGACAAGCCCCGCCCATCAACTTGACAGAAAAATTAAGTAAAAATGTACATTTACCCACTTATCTACTTAAGAGCGTTGTAGCAAAAAGTTGGCGTTCGAATTTTAGGTTTTTATTGCTTGACGTCGCGTAGTGAGTGCGCAAACTGCATTTATCTGTACAATTTCAACGCTGCGTCGACTAAACGATCTTAATCCGTAGTTGTACATAAGACAGTACATCATACATAATAATAAAGAAATAATGTATAATTTACCCATTAGATTTTTTCTCAGATCAGACTTTTAGCAAAATCAAGTTACGTAATTAATGTATTTTTTACACTAGTAAATCCCGTGACAAGTTTTTAATCTTTAAATTGAGTAAAGTAATAAGTTGATGGGTTTGAAAGAATTTATGTTTTATTTTATTCTTTTTACAGCATCAAAAGCTTGTTTATGAAAAATATTTACTATTTAAATTTTACTTTTGACTTTTTAGTTTTTATGATGCGGGATGGAAAAATTAAAATTTATTCTGATTTTGTGACGTTTCCGCACATAAATATGGATAGGTTAAATAAATAGAATGAAATGTATGAAAACGAGCGTGCCATTTTTTAAACGTTATCTATAATATTAGTGTCCATCAAAGAGCTCGTAACTAAACATCGTAAGCGCCATTCAAATTATTATCTAAAAGTTAATAATAAATATTTAGTTTTTGTAAATCTAAACAAGTCAGGAAATCAAAGAGGTAAATACTGATATCATTGTGATTTTATAGAATTTATTATTATAAACCACGGTCGTATAATGCTAAAAAATCAGAGGTAACTTTAAGATTTTTATCCATAGAGCAAAATTTATCTAATCGTGTTTTTAAACAGTTATCCCATTAGGTACACATGCGTTCTGTAATACAAACCCATCAAAAACAATACTTGTCAAAAAACCAAGTCTCACTACTCAGTTGTTCTACGGTAAAAAGTTGTGAGATCCATGTAATACCAAGTCCAGTCCAGGAAATCATTAACGTTTTACATAAATATATTGACTTGGCCATCGCATGAAAACACGTGTAAATTAAATTATTTAAACTCTGATTTTTAATTCGACGGAATTTTGACATTTCAGAAGTGTTGTCAACATTGAAACATTCCCACTAAGAATGGAGAGCATTTTCACAAATTAAAAAATAATCCTTTCTTGAATTTAAGGTTTCACTTGAAAAACTAAGGCTTAAAAATGTACTGATCATTTCAAAATGGTTTTTTGAATTTTTATTATCACATTATGGAAGTTACAAAAAAAATTGGGAAATTATTTTTCTATTACTGGAATGACTGGAATCCATGGGTTACAAACCGTTTTTATGAAAATCCTTTTGTTAATAAAATCTTAGCTTCATAAAATAATCAATTTAACAAGATGCCAATTTTATAATCCAAGTTGATTATGATGACGACAATGATGATTGATGATCAATACATATTTTCGTTTATGTTAATATGTTGTTTTACTGTGTTAAAAACGTAAATTCCGCATCATAAATACTAAAATGCTTAAATTAAAATTAAAAGAAAAACATTCTTTAAAAAACAAGGTTTTGTATGCTCTAAAAAGAATAGAATAAAAAATAAAGATTCTATCATTACTCAATTTATATGACTAAAAGCTCGTCGCGAGATTTACTTGTGTAAACAAAAATACATTCATAACGTAACTTAATTTTAAAGTAAATCTAAAAAAAACACGGATAGGTAAATAATAGGTACATCTACAAGAACTTACCTAAATCTCGTAACAAGCTTTTAGTAAGATAAATTGTGTAAGGACAGAATCTAGGTATATAATAGAAAAATACACGTTCCAAATTAGTGAAGGAATGTTAGATAGATACTTATCACTGCATTCATTTTCAAAGCTCTCATGGCCGCATATTTCATCGAACCATTTTTTCGAGGCATTTTCATAAACTCAATCAGATGTCGTTATTTATGTCGGTATATGCGCGAAATAAAGACTTTGAATTACGTATTATTGCATAGGTACTTATAATATTTTATCTGAGCTTTTATCTCAAGAATAAAATTGTCATTTTGACAAAATATTTCCCATACGGAGACTGTCAATAGGCCAATTTTATTCTCCATTTAAAAGTTTCGATGCATTCAAAAATCATAAAATAACTATAAAAATAAGGTTCATAGTAACCAACGAAAAGACAGATCAGGTTCCTACGTCAACGCGCATATATTTTTGGGTTCCGAACCTCAAAAGGAAACAACTAATTATTTAACCCTTATAGGATTACTCTGTTATTCGTCCGTCTGTCAAGACCCTTTTTTTCATATGTATTAGATAACAGCACTTAACATAAAAAATATGGTCTTTTTTCTACTTTCAGTAGCAACAACAGGGTCAACAACAACAAAAGCATGAAATAAATTAATGTTCACTAAAAATTAAAACCAACTACAAAACATAATAATATTATAGCCTGACCAGGAAC